TCTCTCTCTCTCTCTCTCTCTCTCTCTCTCTCTCTCTCTCTCTCTCTCTCTCTCTCTCTCTCTCTCTCTCTCTCTCTCTGTGTCTGTGTACACACTTGTTCCCCCAACTCCCTTTCCTACTGGTGCCATCCTCATCACACTTTGTCGTACATTTGTTGCCTGCCTTTGTCTCACTCTGCTCCAGAAATTTCAACTTGTTTTTTCGACAGTTTGGAAATATGTCTGCGTTCCCCAGCTATGATGAGCTTTGCCGGTTTCTCGGGCCATGCTTCATGCACGGATGATAAGGTTGTATCTTACATTATCTGGCTGTTCTCTCTTTTTATGATCTTTTTCTCTGCAGGAACCTGCAGAGCCCCTGTTCAATGTTCACCTTCAAAGGTACAGGGAGTCACAGGCGTTTTACAAATCGCTGCCTCATCCTCTATCACAGCAAGGATAGAGTGGAGTGATAGTCCCCCACTGGAGGGAGTTGCTGTCGAATGACATCTGCAGGGACCTGGGGACGCTATGCGCAACTTCTATCTTCAAAGGTACTTGGTGTCAAAAGCGCTTCACGACTCCCTTCCTCTTCCGCAGCTTTGGCAAAGATGCAGTGGATTAAAAGTGGTCCCCACCTGAGGGACCTCTCTTTTCTGAGTGACATGTTTTTTTGAACCTTTTTCCCACACCTCTCGAACGATCTTAGAAATGTACGCATGCCTGATGCAACATCTTAGTGTTTTTGTGAAGCATGCTATTGAGTAGTGTTCCCCACCTGAGAGACTTCTCTTTTGATTGACGGCCCATGTCGGAGGCGATGTGTTCGGTGTTGTTGTCATTACTGTATAAGTGTGAGCACATCAGGATATCGAAATATGGCTATGGATGGTACTGCAGACTGGAATTGGGTTGTTGTCGTGTAAGTGTTGATCGCACATGATCCCAACGATTCATTGAAGTGTCACTTGGCTCCGGCCTCCTGCCCCGGTTTGCTGTCAGCTAAAGAGCAGAAGGCATTTGTGTTTGCTTGAAACAAGTGGACATCTGGTGAAGCTGTATGTCCCCGACGACGAATTGGCGGAGAAAGGATGAAAGGGGGGGGGGGCTGGGGGGGAAGAGTTGGGGAGAGCTTCCCAGTTGCAGTGAGAAATTCATTTTGATTACATTCTGAAATCTCTCTTCAGGGATGAGCAGATGTACACATCGGCAAGGCACATTTGGCGGTAAGGGTCGACAACCGTTACACCTGGCTGTGATGAGCAGATGTACATCAGCAAGGCACATTCGGTGGTAAGGGTCGACATCCACTACACCTGGCTGTGATGGTTCCTTTCCCCTGCCACATGCCCGCGTGGTTGTGGCAATGATGGACACTCTGCGGTGATGCATGACGACGTAATGTATGGTGGTTTCCAGACCTTTCGATACCTGGATTTCAAGATTGGAGGCTCCTTCAACCAGAATCGAAGGCCAGTCAGACCAGGAATACAAGTTGGTTCCGTGGACAAGATGCCGTCGCGTGTTTTAAGTTAATTTGAACCAGGATTGGAGGGAAGTTGGACCCGGAATACAAGTTGGAGATGGCGTCGCGTGTTTTAAGTTAAGCAAACGGTGGGTGGGTCCTGCTATCTGTGGCGTCCGGGCACTTGTGGAAGAATGGTGGGAGCATGGGGGGATATGTCCTTCAGGCAGTTGTGGCAGTATCTGGTCTACGATAAGTGATAGGAATGTGTATACTTGTTGGTAGGTTGTTTGTATGGTTAGCGGAAACAGTGGAGTTTGTGGTGGCTGGGAGACATTGGGTTGGCCCGGGTGGGCTAGTTCATCCTTCTTTTGATGCTGTCTGACTTAGATTGTGAGGTATCCTTTGTCTAGGTTTTTCTCGATTTTGCATTCCTGGTAGTCCCATCTTTTTTTCACAAACAGACTGCGGCGTTTGCTCACACATGTCATTGCGGTGCTTGCAAAGTCCTTTCTGTGAATACTGTGCATAAGAGGAACAGTGACGGCGTCGGTTGTGCATGAATGTGGTGTGTGCGCACGCCGTTGCTGCCGCTACCTTTGCTGCCATCTTGTGAGCAATTGACATTGCATGTATACTCGCAATGGCCTGGAGGGGTAAAATCGTAAAAGAGAAATCGGCAACGTGTTGCTGCTGTTTCAGAGAGTGCGTGCTGATCGGGGCGTAGGAGGAGCCATAAGGCGGAATCCGGTAGTGGCATCCAATTTTTGAATTTCCTTCCCAATCCCCTCACCCTTCCTTCCTCCTCCAGGCTCTAGCTAGAACCATTCCTAATCTAGAAATAGAAACTTGCACTTGTGCTCGACATTCCTGAGGTGTCTTTTGACTTTTTGTGCTACGCCTGTACAAGGAGTGTGCCTCGACAACTTGACAAAGTGGACGAGCCCCCTCTTCTCGGCGTTCTCAACTATCTCGTTCGTTGTATCGTCTGTCAGTGTCTTCTCTTGCCATGTTCCCATAACGTTTCCTGCTTTTACCATTTTCTTCCTACTACTTTTTTTTTTTTTTTTTTTTTTTTTCCGGACCATTTCTCGGTTTATGCGTGTCATCCTTACTTGCGCAGGGGCCATGCTAATCTACCCTTCTCTGTATCGTTCCAATTTTAACGGATGTCCCGAAGGACTCTTCCTATTTCTTCTTTACCATTGTTTCCACTTTTTTTTTTTTTTTTTTTTTTTTTTCTTAGACAAAATTGCAGCTGTGCCCCACTTAAAGATGGGAATACCCGCTATACCCAGTCCCAGAGCCAACTTGCATCTATGCCCGTACTCCTTCAACTCTACAGAACACCTGTCTCTTATACACATCTAGATGTGTATAAGAGACAGCCATTATTCCCCTTCTATCATTGACCCCTTCCAGGGTTCCGCCATTTACTTCTTTTACCTATATTAGTATATTCTGCTTTTCCCATTTTCTCCGTTTACCATTCCGTTTCTGACTTGTACGTATTTTCTCCCACGACCACTTTCTCCGCCCATCATATTCTCAGCGCATCATCATTTCCGTCATCCATTTTCCCCATGCAGCATTTTCTCCATCCACCTTGTCTGTCAGGTTTCGTCCATTTCTGGCTTCTTGTACGACAAAGAAAATCTCAAGATATGCAGTGTTGTAACCATACTTGCAAGCAGACGGACTGGACGAGCGTCTGGTCCGGTCTGCTTTGCCGCGTGCGGCGCCCTCCCCCTGGACCAGACGGACCCGGACCGGACCGGACAGGGCCAATTTTTTTTTTTTTTTTGGGGGGGGGGTTGGGGCATAACTGGTCGTCGGGCGCACATTCGTGCGCCGCACGGGTCCGGTCCGGCGGTCTGCCGCATGTGCGGAACCGCCCGGACGGCGTCCGCTTGCGAGTATGGTTGTAACCAGAGATCGTGCAAAAAAAAGAACATAGCAGATCCGGATTCGTACGAGAAAATTCTCAGCTGTTCCCGGAATCCCACAGCAGACATCGAATTCCGAAGCTCGTCCAAACAATCACTCAAGGGTTGGACTCTGTTGATGATGTGCCGATCTACTCATTGTGTCTACAGCTGCTGCTAGTGTATCATACTGCAGAGCGGGTATTTGTAGGTCACTAGGGAAGATGGAGCGGCGGGCTCACTAGCGGAAGCCCCGTCTGAATACACTGAACAGTGTGGAAAGAGCTTTTGATACCAAACCCAGAAGATCTGAAACTCAGTTCAACCTGGGAGAACCTGGATTTCAGAATAAACAGAGCACGTGTGGCGGCCGGCTCACTATGGGAAGCCCCATCTGAATACACCAAACAGTGTGGAAAGAGATTTTGAAAGCAAACCCTGAAGATCTGAAACTCAGTTCAACCTGTGATACCCTGGATTTCTGAATAGACAGAGCTTAAGATTGCACATGTGGTCCTCTCCCCCCCCCTTCTCTCTTCCCGCCCCCCTCTCTCCAGTCTTTCAAAACTCGAGGCAGTCGGTCCATAACCTGTTTTGGAGTTGATGTTATACTTTCTGTCCACGTCGCTGGGCGCTATGTGTGGCTGACCGTGCGAATCAGATGTGTCCCTCTATGAACTCATGCCTGTGGCCTGTAATCCATGCACAGGATGACATGTGGTTGTCGGACTGACATGCGGGCAGGCACCCCTGCAGGGGAGTTGGTTGTGCTAGTTGTTTGGAGGGAAGGTTTTAAACGGTGTATGGTGAGTGATGGTGTGGAGAAGGTTCTTTTTTCTTTTTTTTTGGTGGGGAGAGAAGTCGTTGTGGTTGTGGATGAGAAGATGTTAAGGTCTGATGAGGGTGGAGTTGTTGATGATGAGGTGCCAAGTCTGTGAGTTTTTTTTTTCTTTCTTTCTGTGTAACCGGTTGAACGCCGTGAACGCCGTTCACGATCAAACGCGCGCGTTCAAACCCCCCAGCCCCGCGTTCAATCGTGTTTAAACGCGCTACGCGCGAGCAAAAAATTGAACGCAGTCCCACGGGGTGATGGTCCGAGTTCGACAAGCCCCTAAAGTGTGAAAACCGCCCCCTGGGACCACCCGATACACCCCCCGCCCCTGCCCCGTGGTCCCCATCCCCGAAACCGCCACCTGCTAAGCGCCGACTCACCTACCCCCACCCAACGGAGGGCCACCCACGACTGCCACCTCCCCTCCTCCCCGAGGACGTTTTTTGTTTTTTTTTTCCCGCCCACAATTACAACCCCCCAAACCACGCCACCCATTTACACACACACACACTGACACACACACACATATACACACACGCACATGCATACACAAATTCACACCGTCGCACACACACGGGCACTCTTTTTTTTGCCAACACGTACAACCCCCCATACTGCGCCACCCATTTACACAAACAAATACACACACATAATCACATTCACACACACACACATACAAACTGCGACCTTTCTTTTATTTATTTTTCCAAAATATTTTTATTTTATTTATTTTAATAGCGCAAAACAAGCGGTTAGAGAAATTTTTAAAAAAGGGTTGCAAGCAAAAAAAAAAAAAGGTGGTTTGGGGGGTTCGGGGGCAGGGGTGGGGGCGGGGGGCCAGGGGGGGCTACGGGAGGGTTTGGGTTATGAGGGGCTTGGAAGCACTTCGGGGGTTTGGGTTTCGTGCGTGTTCAAATTGCGCCAGACTCCAAGTCCGCCCACGCCCGCGGGTGCCCGAGGTTTTTGTGGTGCTCGTATAGTGGGAAGAATGATTTCAGAGAAACCAAGGGCGGACTCAAAGCACACAAAACACTCGTCGTTTGAAAACAGAAACATCGCAAATGTCGAGATGTAATGATCGAAGCAAGACGCAAACCAATATAGCATGGATAATAGCAAAAATCTGACACATCGTGTCGAAGCCCCGCCAGTCTATTGAAAGAAGTACCAACCCGAAAATGCCGACGAAAAAGTACAGTAAAGTACACTGGAAAGCTACAATCTTCGAAGTAGCAAACTGGAGAAAAGTGCCTACTGGAAAGTACACTATAACACAACATCACGAAACACTACGTCTGCGCAGAAAAGTACCCATTGGAAAGTAGACTATCAATACAACCTCACTAGACACTACGTCTGTCATGGATAACAAAAAATTGAAGTACACTGAGAAAGTCACGAAAACGCAAGTCCGTAATCCGTCAACAACCGTCGTGCGCACGTGGATCTCGCTCGGATCGATGAGAAACTCGTCCGTGGGACCGACCACTGCCACGTCCTCGATCTCTCTAACGCTGGCCGTCGCGTCCGCCGGCAGAAGGTTCGAGAGCGACGAGAAGCTCGTCGGGATCGTCGTCCATAATGACTCTCCTGCCTCTCACCGTCCTGATGGCTGCTGCTGCTAGGTCATCACGTAGGCGTGACTTGCGTGCCATAGGTAGACCGCCAGTCCCTGAAGTCTACCCCTCCTGGCGTCAATCTAAGGGCACGTGTCGGGCCTGCCTCAGTCGTGTAACAACATCAGGCTCCTCCAAAATAGTCAACGCCTTTCTCAAACCGTACGTCCGCGGCGGATTCACTGCGCTCGTAGTGGCACCGCCTGCGCCCTCACGTCGACCGGCGCCCTCGCCACCACTGCCACCGCCGCCGCCCCCTCTACCGCCAAACCTTGAAGCTATAACATCTCGGCGTCTCGCGCTCGTGGAAACCCTTGACGACCAGCACTCGCCGTCGTCACCCGTCTCGTCTCACTCCATAGTCGATTAGTGCGACCGAACAACATGGTGTCCAACAAGTCCCGCGCACGTTGAATAGTGTCTCTCCGTCTACGGGCAACCGACCTCGGTGTGAGACTGCCGCCCTCCCTCGGAGCTGCGGTCAAGGGTGACGAAGGGCCTGCGGTGCCTCCAGATGGCGCTGCGACCGAACCTCCAGAAGGTAAGTCCCCTGTGGCCCCGCCAGATGCCGCTGCGACGGAACCTCCAGAACGTAAGTCCCCTGCAGCCCCGCCAGATGGCGCTGCGATGGAACACCCAGAAGGTAAGCTGGGGCTGGCTGGCCCCCAAGACAAGTCCTGCAAGTGAGGCAGCTTCCCCTCCTCCGGGGCTGACCTCAAAACGCGCTGGTCGATCTCTGTCAAATCCCTCCTGCCGTGGTCCTCCAACTCCTCAGTGGTCATAAACCAAAAGGGAGGCTGCCCTGAGGCGTAACCACATGCCTGATCTCCGGCCTCGTCCGTGACGGCGCAAAAGTAGGGACCGGGGGTATGCACGCGCCCCTGCCTAAATGTCGCTCCTCGACCGGGCCACCGCCATGTGCAGGACGCCTATAACCCTCCAAAAATGGTGTCTGATGTGGCACCGCTAGCCCCACAGCAGTGTGAACCACCAAAGTCTGTGGCATCTCCTGTCCGTTCGCGTCACGCCTGTCCACCTGTGCGGGGTCTCCCCCGCCAGACGTGGACATCGGATCGGCCGCGGACGGCACCCGCGACCCACCAACACCAACGGCCCCCTCTACGGCCCCGTCCCCCCCGGTGGTCGGCGCTATCCCCTCCGCCTGTGCCGATTGGCGAATATCATTAACGCCCACTGACTGCCCCGTCTGTATGTCCTCCAGACCCGGGGACATATGCATGGCACCCTTAACTGAACCCACGGGTAGAGGCACGCCCGCGACCTCGTGCAATGTCTCCTCGGGCCTCAGCTGGACGGCAGGAGGCTGCGCCGGCTCCGAACGTGGCTCCTCTGCCGGAGGATCCGTGTGGGCAGCTGGCCCCACGTCAACGGACGCCGGCGTGAATGTCCCCAGCTGCCTCTGTTGGTCCTCCGCCGCAAGACGAGGGAGCTCCTGCGTCCTGGGGTCCCTCTGTGCCATGAGGCAAGCTCGACGACTATCAAGCCTGTCCAGCCTCTTTGCAGATGTCTCTCTAGGGGGTGTTCGGTCCTCATCTCCCTCTGCCCCCAACATCACCTCTGCGCACATGGCAGGGGAGAAACTATTCGGATCCGTAAAGCTGATCTGTCCCAGTAAGTCCTGCATACCCACACTGATGTCCCCACGGGACTCGCTCTCTCCTCGGGCCAGACCCACGTTCTCTMCCGGGGGCATACCCATSYCMCCAAMCYCGCTGAAACCGCCTCCGCCGCCCATCGGTATCCCCTCAACCGCCGCATCAACCTCGGCACCGCCTCCACCTCCGGCCAACGCACCACCATCTCCACCAACCAACCCCTGTGTGTCTCCGACGTCACCTTGCGCCGACATAGGACCGCCCTCTAATCTGTCCTCCAATCGCTGTCTCGGGTCCCTCACCAATCTCTGCAATCGATCTGCACCGGCTGGCTGTCGATGAAGCTGCTCCGTCGAAGTGGGAAGAGCGGTGGATGATGCCATGCCAGAGCGACCCAGAGGATGATGGCCAATCCCCGACTTTGCCCCCCTCGAAGGTGCAGACCCAGGATCTCTCTCGCGCTCAGCAGACGGAGGCCTCGGGCGCTCTAAAGGGCTCCCATGACGACCCCTAGACTCCTCCAAATCAACTCGAACGAAAAGGTCATCTCCGCCACTCCGTCTACGAACGTCCTCTGGGTTGCTCCACTCATTACACTCTTCCGCCGCAGAAGTGGCGGTAGCGGGGCCTGCCGGCTCGTCCTCGTGATCCTTGGAATCACTAACGTCTCGAGGGTACGGGTGCAATGTGGCGGCTTGAGTCCCAAAAACATCGCCCAAATCACCCGGAGGAGCTCTGGACCCACAAGGGTCTCGCCGCCATGAGCGTCTCTGATCCTCGACCTCCTCCCGCGTCTTGCTCTCGTCAGTCCCCTTCCACGAGGGGCGAATCCCGATACCTCCCTCCACGTCCAACAACGACTCATCTAGAGTCCACAGCAGCGCGAACCCGCGGTCTGCCCGCTGATGAGAGAGAAGGCGCACGTTGGCTGAGATCTCAACCAACTTCGCGACCTTCGCGAACTCAAGCCGGTTACGCTTCTTCGTATGTACACCCTCGTGGACGGCCCAATTCCTCTCCGCAGGAGAGGAGCACGTCCACATGTACATCACATGAAGAGCGATAGCCTGCAACTGCGGGGCGCACTGCCTGTACCTCGACCATCAACACCCGGACTCGTACGTCTCCGCATCGCCCTTGCACCTCTGTGCATCTCTCTCTCCGTCTCTCCCCCCCCAAGCAATCGTCCCCCTTCGTGTGTGGAAGTCGCGCAACTGCGCACATGCGGTCTCGTAGTCGCGGCTCGCCACACTGAACATGTCTGCGACAAGATGTAAGTCTCCGCCTCCCTCACCAAACTCACGTCGTAGTCACTGACCACGCCCTCGAAGTACCGCAAGTCCCGCCGGCTGGGACAGAGAAGGTGAGCAGCGGCGTGCGCCGGCTCCAGCATGTGAGCGCATCGAGCGTGCACCCTTTGCACAATGTAGTGTGCAAGATCTGCCGGAAGTGCACGAACCTCCTCTGCTACCTGGCGGGCCAGATCCTGTGTCCACTCAACCACCGGCGACATATGCAGCCCTCCGAGGTCCAACCTGCGCAGCAGGTCGTACACACGCACCATGATACGGAACACGATGCCCATGGAATCCCAACTGCCATGTCGCACGTGCCACCTGACCCACCTAGCCAAATGACGAACGAAATGGTCCCAAGGGACCATACCCCAAGCATCGCCATCCATCGTCCTCTCCAAAGCTGACCTCACTGCCAACAAACGCTCCACCATTGCGAACACGGATGCGAAACGTATCTCGCAAGGATAGATGAGGCCCATCTGACCGCTCTCCCCCCGGAAGATATGGAGAGCGGCGCCGTGCTCCTTAATGAAGCGCACCACCGCTCTCCCCCTCACGATGATGTCCTTGGACCACGGGCCCGAACAGCCAATGTCTGACAACATCTTGTTGCAGACATGCACTGCGCATGAGAGCCACGTGATCCGTCGATGCTCTGGCCTCCGCTGGGGCCCCTGGAGCATGTTCGCCACGGCGACGTACGCCGAGGCGGAGTCGGTGCAGATGGCGTTCACCCACTTAGGGGAGAAGTTATCGAACACCTTGATCTAGCGCGCCAACACAACAGGCGCCCGATCCCGCTCACCGTCCCTGTTCATCGTCCGGACGAGCATCACCCCACGCGACCCGCTGGCAAGGAAGTTAACGATGGGTCTAGCATCGCGTGACTTCCTTCCGTTTGACATAATGGTGGCCCCCGTGATATAGAAAGGAGCCCTGACCTCCGTGAGAGCAGCTCCCACATCGTCCGCCGTGTGGACAATGGTCTCTATGTCCGCGATCTCATTCTTTGAAGGCCACAACACCTTCATTGGTCCCGGAAAATCCCTGAAGTGCCGGACGATGTCCAACCACGGCTCGCTCCGGAAGACGTTGAACGCCAGATAATGACTTTACAAACAACGCAGCCACTTCTTCTTGAACTCCATCTGCCACTTTGAAGTGAACGACTCCGTGATCGTGTTCTGTCTTATCCTCTTCTGTGCTGCCGTCGGTTTGGCCCCCTCCTCTCTCTCCTTCCTCTTCCCCGCAGACAGACCCGCCTCAGCCGTATCCGCACCTGCCCGTGTACGAACAGACACGTGCGCCGATGCAAAGTACTGGCCCTGCTGCCCCCCCGGCTCGCTGACAACTCCCTTCCCTCGCTCCCTCCCTGACGAACCCGCCCGTGCAACCTCCTCGACGTCGTCTTCCACGTTGATCTGCTCCTCTGCGTCCCTCATCTCTCCCTCCCCCCCCTCGTCCCGTCGCGGATCCGTCGCAGGCGCCGCACCGTGAAACTCCTCAAATCGCTGGATCCGCTCTAGGAACTTGTCGGACATCTTGTACTCACTGTTGTAGTGGATGTCGACAAGTGCCTCGTCGATCACTTCCGGACATCCCTTGCCCTGGCGGAAATGGCGCGCCGCCACGAACTGGTTGCCCTGGAACTCGTGGCCGTAGAAAATGCACTTCAACATGCGATTGCCGCGGAATCTCTCGCCGAGACTTTGTCCCACACGGATGTACTTGTACACGCAACACTTCTTCTGCGCCTTCCGATTCTTGTCCTCCCCCCCATCCTCAAACACTCGAGACTGACTTCGCGGCATCGTGCCCGCTCGCCGATGGGTTCACCGAAGCGGTCCGCCCTCAGCCTGTCCCACGATGCTCCAACTCCCGCCGGCGTCCCTCCCCGCACCAGGCCTCGTCGGGCCAACCGCGAGCCGACTCTGTTGTGTCGGCCACGCACCCCCCACGGCCCCAAAACCCCCACTGCGCCGACAATGCGGCGCGGGCCGCGCACAGGAACCCCCCCCCAGCCTCCGTTCAAAACACTTGAACGCGCGTTCAAAGAATTAAACGCGCGTTCAAAGAAAATTGAACGCACGTTCAATTTTTAGTTCAGCTGCACGCCGTTGTCGTTTGCGTCGCCGATCTTCGTCGTTGGGGCTGCCGTCCGCTGCCGCGCTGAGCCGTCGATGTCCCCGCGCGCGTCCGCCTCCTCGGGTTTGCCGTCTCTCTCTCTCTCTCTCTCTCTCTCTCTCTCTCTCTCTCTCTCTCTCGCGTGCGCGCGCGCGCGCGCGCGTGCGCACTATGACGCAGTCTCTCTCTCTCTCTCTCTCTCTCTTTCTCTCTCGTGCGCGTGCTATGGCGCAGTCTTTCTTTCTCTCTCTCTCTCTCTCACTCTCTCTCTCTCTCTCT